CCTCTCCTCTCTCGAGACCACTGCCAGCAAATGGCCCCTCAGACAACACTTCTCATCCTAAATATCCCTTCTGCAGAGCAGGGCAAACATTTATGTGCCCATTTTGTCCAGGAGCACGACACTTTTGAAACAGCAAGCCAAAAAAAATAACCAAACAACCAAAAAGGCACAATGGGCAAAGAGCTGCTGTGCAGGGGCAGATGGATTCCAGCTGGTGCAACAGCCCAGAGCAGAGACCAACCCCAGTAAAATCAGCTGCAATGCTATTGCTGGGATGCAGAGAGGTGAAGTTATTTCTTCAGCATGACTTGGGCAGCCCCACAGAGCCTGTTCCCAGCCAGGATTAGATCACACAGCCTGTCCAGAAAGTCTGGCAAACAGAGCAAATATTTCCTAGCTTACAATAACACGTGATCTTACACGGTTCTCTGTCTCTGAAGTGAGGGGGATGAACAAATACTGAATGGTTTGAATAATATTGGTGAATCCAAATTCCAGTTAGAGGGAATTCATGTTAGACCAATTAAATAGTATGTCAATTCTCTCTAATTATCTGTTCCTACAGCCTACCCAGTAATTACATTTAATGGGTCTAAATCAAATCAGCATGTTACCTGGGAAATAATTGGATTTATGTGCCATTTTTTAATGATCCTGAAAGGTACCCTGGAGATTGAAGTCCTCTGTGTATTCAGGGTCTGATCCTAGGCTTCAATGTGCTTTGGATGTGGATCTCAGGGTATTGGCCCTGATAAATTGAAGGTACCCATTCCCTGGTACTGAGACCCACTGGCATGGGACCACCAGTCCCATCAACTTTTTTAGGTTCTAAAACAGAGTGGCCATTTCCAAACTTCCCGCTGGAAACCACCTCTGGCCAGTGCTAAATGCCAAACTACATCTACATGAGGAGAGAATAACTCCATGCTCCAGTGCTGCAGCAACACATCCCGACCTTGAGCTGCAGGGACCCTGCAGGGGCTCTGCTGAGGCTGCTGAGCAGAAGGATTTGCAGGGGCACCTCCAAGTTTAGAAGCACAAGCCATGCTCTGCTGAGACCTGCCTTTGAACATCCCTCAAAAGTGTGGAGCATGTTAGAAACCAAGGCAGACGTGGTATAGAAAAAAAAAAATAGAGCACAGAATCATCAAAGTTGGAAGAGGGCAAGATCATAGAGTCCAAACTTTGATCAAACATCATCATGTCAACTAAAAACAAAATCTAAGCCTCTATCCAGTTTGATGAACCTTGGCCCTCAAATCATACAGCAGTAAATCTCCCTTGCCCCAGACAGAAACAGAATAGAGCATTTTATTGATAATTTCTGATCTCCTTAAACATCCTACATCTTAAACTTAAAAGCAGGCACACATTGTGTATTTATTTATTTACAGGCACAGAGAATAGGCAGGACTGCCAAACTCCTGACACTTAAAAGCAGTTCCATTCACGTATCTCAGCCCCTCATGCAAGATGAGTGTCCATTAGATCTCAGATCCATCAGTTGGATCAGAAGGGACCATGAATAGCAAAAGAATTCCCAAAAAACACAGAAGCAAATTCATTTCTCACTGCTTCTACTTAAGCATGCACTTCTCTAAACTATTTCTTTTAATTCCYAGTGGAGGTGAGCCACAACACCTCTGTACAACTTTTCCCTGCTTCCACAGAAAGCAGTCTCTGAGGGATTAGTACAGCAGACATCCCCTCACTGCCCTGCTCCCCAGAGCCCCACCATCTGAAAAATCTTTGTCTTTSAGTTTCAGCATGATTTACTGTCCCCCATCTCCTTGAAATTCTGCCCACGAGAAACCAAAATAGCACCTTGCCTTGTGCATGAACCCCATGCAGCAAGCGAGCATCGAAAGCACTCGATTTCAAACGCAGGGGAATGTCAGGGAGACATAACTGCAGTGACAGTGGCTCGAGGGGATGACTGCACCAGCTCGTTATTCTTCAGCAAAGGTACAAGCAAATGCCACTAACTTCAGTTTTGCTTTTTTTCAAGGAAGTCTTTCTCTTTAGRTAACTACTCTGTTCAGGGGCCTTTTGAGGCTCCAGCATCACTCTGACAGTGGGAGGGCTTGGCCATCCTTATTTTATACTAAAGATGTCCTGTCCAAACTCTGCAGGCCACTTCCCAAAGTGCCTCTAACATCTGGATATGAAAAATTTACCTAGGTAGGTGCTTAACCAAAACACCTACTCCAGTGATATGATCCCTCAATAAGCAACAAAAATAAATATATATCCCTATCAATCCAAGACAATTCAGACCTTAAATGGCTTCTTATTAATATATTTCTGTCACAACTGCTGTTAAGAAAGACAAATTCAGAAACAGGACCCATAAAGTTGTATTTTTCTTTTGATAAAGTTATGGGTCGAGCCCTGTGCCAGGCAGTGAGCTCTTGCCAAGGACTCTCTGATGCTCTTTGATTACCACTGTGCCTGCTCAGATTCTCTGGAAAAGGGCATTTCATAGGAACACTTCATAGGAGCACTTCATAGTTTTGGGCTTCAACTCTTAAGCAGATATTCACTTACAACTCGTAAACAATACTCAGATAGTAAATAACCCAAAAAGCCGACCGAAATTTCTCACGGACCTGTATTTTGCATTCTGTGGATCCATCATTCCTCAATGCCCTCATTGGCCTTCTGCCCACAGAAAGGTGGAAAGGCTTACTGAACTCACAACAGCACTAGATACTGCCTGTGAGACCCAAAATTAATATGTTGAATCATCAGGGAAAGTCTGACCATGACCTGGTATCTCTGGGCAAAGTTAATATTCWCATACTTTAAACACTGCTATGAATCAAGTGGGTTCTAATTAAAGGTTTTCCCAATCACTTAAGAAACAATAATTTCTGTCAGATTACCCTGTTTCCCGCTGCAAAATTGGAGCTGTCTGAAAAATGTCTTGGGCAAATGTTTTCAAGCAGCTTCCCCTGCTTTTTTCAGGAAAATCACCTACCCTACACACTGACAAACTCCTTCTACCATTTCTGTAATTAGCAAAGAGCACCRAGCCATAAATATTTATGCACAGATGGGTCCTGAAGTACCTTCAGAAGTTCAGCACAGGCCTCAATAGTCAGATTTTTCAGGGGAGCTTTGATACAAACCCTGCTTGTTCAGGAGGACTTGTCAGAACACCCGGCTAATCACCGCTCTCTGAGAGATGCATTTCTCACCTAACAAGGGATTAGGTGATCACTCGTGAAAATCCCACAACAAATGCAGGTGCTTCATTACCTACTTCTGATTTGAATTCCTCACAGATCTGGCCAGTTCCCTTTATTAGCACAGGTCTCTGCCTGCTGGGGCAAAAAGTCTGCTTCTGTTCTGCTGTTGGCAGAGTCTGAATATTTCTGCTTTTGTTTCAAGCCTTTCCTGAAGTCAGGTGTGTTTTCCTCCCCCGTGCAAACTTTTCTTTTACTGTTTCTTCCCCAAAAGTAATGATGATGTGATGCTGGGACCATGCTAAAAAGTCATCTAAAAAACTTGAGGCTGGTCTGAAACACTGTGTCCAGACTAAYTGCCACGTCCATTTCATTCATAGAATCATTAGGGTTGGAAAAGACCTCTGAGGTCACAGAGTCCATTAACCCACGACTGCCAAGTCCACTGCTGAGCCATGTCCCTAAGCACCATATCCACACATTTTTGAACACTTCCAATCACAGCAATTCCACCTCCCTTGGAAAGATGGAACGGGGCAACCTATTCCAATGCTTGACCACCCTTYCAGTAAAGAGATTTTCCCAATTTTTAGATCCTATACAAACATCCCCTAGTGCAACCTGAGGCCATTCCCTTTTTCATTCCATTTGTTACTTGGGAAAAGAGAYCAAACCCCACCTTGCTACAACCTCCTTTCAGGTGATTGTAGAGAGTGATAAAATCCCCCCTGAGCCTCCTTTCCTCCAGGCTAAAYACCCCCAGCTCCTTCAGATGTTCCTCATCAGCTTTGTGCTCAAACAGAAACAGGTCTTGTTCTCCAGCTGACATCAACTGGCACAGTTTGTCCACAATCAAACACGATCCATCTCCAAAATAATGTGTCTGCTTCCAAAGCTCTGATGGAGAATGGTGTCTAGGCTGTGCTGACTCCCCTGCTGGGGCCAGGAATTGGCCAAGAGGGCATTGGTTGATCTGAGCCAAAGCGGCTGAGGGCTCCGTCCTCTACAGCACTCATGACTCCCAGTATCCAGCCCCATTTAATTTAAAAACAGTTCATGAGATCATGCAAACACAGGTTAACATTTCCCAGCCTGAGCTGGGAGCAATTAAAAGCTGGTTTATGGCATGGTGTGGGCAGGTGATGATGCCTTAGGATTTTAGTTTCTACATTTCATGGATTCGTATTCTTATACTTCTCTATTATAGCACTAAAAACTACCATTCTCCCATCTTTAGACAAAAAAATCCTCTCTGAGCCTGAATCCAAGGACACCTTGCTGGCTCAGAGTCCCAAARTATGTAAACAATAACAAGSTGGGGTGGAGCAAGTTTAGGGTGGTTGACATCATACCTGAAGATATAACTGGGGGGATTGAGGCCTAATATGTTAATAAGACAGAACTTATAAAAGGTGAAGATCTCATGACTCGATGTCCATTTTGGGTGTARCCTCAGAAGGCTTTTGTCTGCTCTTAWGTAYCAGTARGCCTGTTAGGCCTGTATTAAAGTTGTCTATTCTCATTCTGTTAAGTTTGTCAGGCCTCTGTTTCAGGTGAGCCTGATTTAGGGATCATTTTGGCTCCCCTCACACCACCATCCCCAGGGCCCACCTGAGGCACCCAGCTCTGAAGGAAGGCTTTGACCCTACAAGGACATCCCGCTACCCCACCAGGACAGGAGGATACAAAAATAATACAGGAAAATACAGGTGGAAGGCAATGAGAACTCCTAGAAAGCCTCTCTGGTGAGTAAGAAATAGGAAAATGCTTTGGTGCCAACAGAGCAAACAGTTTGGAGGGTGAGATACTTACTCGGCCTGCACTTGTACCACACGAGGAGGTATTTGCCGGTCCCGGGGCAYGGATCCGTCCCGAACAGCCGGCTGTTGACGAGGAACTGGCAGCTCCGCCTGTCCTGGCACTCATCCAGCATCTTCTGCAGCCAGGGATGTGTGCAAGAAACAGAGAAACAAAAGCATTTCAGTGTCCCCGCTAAAGGGAATGCCTAACAGAGACAAACTGGCCAAAGGCAAGGCCATCCTCGCCTTCACAAGCAGCCCTGGCATGAGGTCGGTGATGGTGCTCAATGTGGTGGGGACCAGAGRAGCTGTAGGCTCAGTGCTCCTTGCACTGTTTTTAGGAGAAAATTTTCAACCCCTTGCCTGGGTGCAAAAGGAAGGATTTGCACTGGGATGATCACAGAGATTTTCAAACATTTGCATGCAATTTAATCATGATACATGAATCCCAGAAAAAAAGCAGCTTTGAGGACATGGATCCACCTTAACAGTTAAAAGTGAAGACTCAAACCTCATACTCCGCTACTAATCGGCTTCAGATTTTTCTGGAGATGCACAATTTAAAGAGAGCTCTTTTTKCAGTTATATAAAAGCTGGTGTGAATATATATATAAATTGCTGGTATTCCAATAATTAGTAGTTGTGGTGGGAACACTATTACACAGCCAACTTAGTCAGTTTTTAATAGGGTTCATTCCTGCTCCCCATGATTATTGCATTCTTTTAGCTAAACTCAGGAAGGGGCTGTGAGTCAGAGGGTTCTCTCACCCCTGGCATTTTGGGTCTTACTCCCTTTTCTGCTTTTTCTCCAGCGCTCATTCCTCACTCCCCCATTCATAACTTTCACGAAAAACTCCATCTCAGAATCCACAGGGGCAAGACATTCTGTCTCCTGCTAGAAAATAGCTTCATTAAGAAAGATTAATGATTTCTTTTAACCCTATGATCCTCTAAAGCAGTGGTGGGGGGGAGAATATTATTAAGTGGGGCAGTAATTAAGTTTTAAATTCAGCTGGATGGCTTAGGTGGTATTTATGTACTCGTGTAGGGCCCCTAAAGCACTAAAATTACCATAATGTTTGCCTGACACACATGAACCTGTCAGAGCATTTTGAGACCACAGAGCGAGGTAATCCACCAGCCTCGTTAAGTCCCTGCGAYACAGAGCTGTGAATTCCAGCCCCAAAACAATTAATTTTCACTTGCAAGGAAATTCCTTCCTCAGAAATTCCCCTAGACTCCCCTGGTCTCTTTTGTCTCCTCTCTGTTCACTTTTCTTACACCCACCTCGATATTTGGGCTTTCCCACAATCTTCTCCCTGTGCCATTAATATAAAGGCTGTTCCTGCTCTACCATGTGCCACCCAAACTAATTTTCTCTCTGCTTCACTSACTACTTTCTATTTTTGAGTTTTCCCTGAATGTAATATATAGAATATTTAGCTTTATAACTCTGAATGTCACGCTCTGAACAACAGCTGTTCCAGTTTCAAGTGCAATTTGAAGCTGCCTCATTTGCGGTTGCTCATAACTTCCTAAAGCTTTCACCTTTTGGGCTGACACATGCAAGAATTCATGCCTGCCTCAAGTCTGACCTTTATTTTAAAGTTCAAACCAAAACAATCCAGGCCTTTTCTAGCGGGCAGAGAACATATGTTGTTGTTTTCCACTTACAAAGGTAATAAAATGCAGGCATCTTGTTTAAAAATACTGGGTTTAAGATGGAAAGGCTGAAAGGTGAACRCTGAAGGAGGTGCCTGGGAGCATTAGCCCCAGCTTGACCGTCACGTTAAAATGCATAGAAACAGCATATTCTTTCCTCTAGGCTCATAAAGCTTGGCTGCTCACTCAGCATGTGAAATTTAATTTAATGCAAAATCCAGTGAGTTGCAAAGGAATTTAAGCGAGGATCCAGCACAGATATCTCTTTTCATCTCAAAAAGCAAAGAACAACTGAAAAAACTCTGGAAGGTTACACATATGGAGACAAATTCTCCAAAGCATTGTGCACCTGAAAGGACTTTCTGGTTCTGGACTTACACCCAAATAGAACTAAGAATATTGAGCACAGGRAAAGAAGCAGCACCCCAAATGTTTCCTTCCCCACTAGGGAAGCTTTCTCCCCTCAAAGGCAGTAGACTTGGRGTTTTGGCCAACAAATCTGTTCACAGTGGATGGGTGGGCTTTTCATGAGCCCTCAGCATTGTGCAATGGGTGCTATTAAAATCAGCTGGAACATCTCCCTGGGCTTCAACAGAGACTGAGGCCAACAAGGAAACATCTTTGAAAACCTCAGCTGAGATGCCTGAGCAGCACTTTTTCATGTCCTTAGGCTCAGCACCAGGAGTGAAGGCAACAACTCACTGACCTCAGAGAACCATGAACCTTCAGGTAGTGCCACTTTCATTTGCCTCTGCTCTAACTTTTGGCAGCTCTTGCTTATTCCTTCTGTTCCACATAAGTGAAACCTCCTGAATTTACTTCCTGTGGTATGCAAAGGGTAGAACAGGGCAGCAAAAAAAGAAAAAAAAAAAAAGCCTTAGGGAGAAATTTGTAACTAAATTAAGGAGCAAAAGTCATCTCTGCCATTGTGAGACCACAGAAAATAAGTGAAGTGTTCTTGGGGCTCAATATGCCTTTTACTAATTTGTTATAGTGTTTAGCTACAGTTTCAACTTAATTTGACAATAGCCATCATTCTGAGAATCTTCATGGGGCGGAAAGAAATCGACATTTCCTTTTCATTCACATAACTTTATTTTAGGGTTATTGCCCCGATGGGCAACATTTTTCCTGAAAATGTAAAAAATATCATTAAGATTTCTGATTTCCTACACATTGTTTGAGTAATGTCTTATGCATAATGAAATTTATCCATAAAGAGTAAAGTGAAAAAAAATATGTTCAATCCTCAGTGAAACACATCAGGAAAAATGCAAAGAAAATTAGCAGTAGTTGACTGCATTTTCTTGATTAAAAATAAAAAACAAAGTTGTTACACCAGCCTTAATGTTAACTTAGAAACTTGCACATGAGATTTTTACCTATTCTTGCATGCACAGAAATCTTCTTCCCCACTGCTTTCACCAGTATGTGCTATGTACCAGCATCTTAAACACTGTGCAGAGCATGTGTGACCAGATGATCCCCCAAAGGTACAGTGCCCTGCAGATCCGGGGTTCTGGTGTTTACCAGAAGACAAGACCTTGGTTTTCTGGTTTTACTCTMAAAAATCATACATCTAGGCTGTACCAGAGCTCAGGCAGATGTCAGATGTTGTTTCAGATGATGTGCTAGACTGACACCAGGAAGGCTGGGAGCTCACTTGGGTAGTAGGAAAATGTCTTGAGCTCACACAGTTATTGCTCGATAGATGGAAAAAATCAGGCAATTCATTCTGTGTTTTCCTTGTCGTTCCAGTTGTCACTGTCAGCTGTAAAGGCAGGAAAATACAACCAAAAGCCAAACMAAAAGAGGCCCACAAACAATCTGGACTTGCACAGGAACAGCAGCAGGCACAGCACTGTCCCTAATCAGGATGTACAATCAGCTCCTTGTGTCCCCAAGTCTGGTAGACCCCTGACTAAAGCCAAATAAAGTCACCTCMGATGAGATTTTGTTACAAAAATCACTCCAACTGAAGAAGGTGGAGGAGGAATTCCTGTCTGGCATGAAAGGGGAGGCAAGACACATTAATTGCACAGTGCCACTTTATAATTGCGTTACAGTGGTAAATCAGGCCTGAGGGCTGACAGCCAGTGCTCAGGAGGGAAGTTGTGGCAGTTTAAACTCATTCCATTCCCTGGTTCATGACTGAGCTAAGAAGCTGCAAGATTTAGAGGAGGTAAGAGAGCAAGAAATGTGAATTCAAGTAAAACAAACACTAATCTAACCCCTGTGATTTATGCCCTGGATTAATCTCCCTGTGATGACCCGGGTCTCAAAGCAAGGGCAGCCTCAAGCTCAAAATCATGTCTTTCCAGTGGCCACTGCAGATGAAACACATTTCTCGTGCTCATTTTGTTGTGCTCATTAGCTAAGTAATTGCTTGTGCTCATTAGATAACAACCTTTTAACTCTGGAGCTGGATGTGGGCTCTGCGAGGAGGCCATCCCCAGCCATTCCCAAGGGTGCACTCGTTTTTGGGCTGTCTCTTCAAATCACTCTTCAAGAAGTGCTTCCCCTGCATGCTTAAAATAAACCACAACTGAGCTTAACACCCAAGGCAATTAAACTTATCTCAGTTCTTGGTCCCTCAGAGCAGTTCATAGATTCAACACGCTTGGGGTGAAACTTTGGACCCACGGAAGCCAATGGTGAAACTCAAATGGGATGAGGGCTTTGCCATGGGGCTGCTCCTGTACAGCCTCCATCTTCAAAGGAGCATAAGGATGGCTGCGGGGCATATCAGTCATGCATGAAATTACACAGAGGAGCCCTGCTAAATAATTGCCCAAATTGTGTGTTGCTGAGGAGAGTAACTCACAGAGCGAGCTGCATGAATGTGTCAGAGCTGTGTGCAGTCAAATGAAGATGGACAGAGATTTGTACTAAGCATTTTATGCAAGAAGATACCAGTAATTTTAAGCCTTTTTAGGTCAAATTCAGTCCAGGCACAGCCATTATGGTGGAGTTACAYCAACAATTGTATTGGTGCATCTGCACAGTTTTTGCTATGGTAAGACGAAAATACAACAAACAAGGCATTAGGAACTCTCCCTACACCACAGTGCATTCAGAATGGCTTCATGTCACCTTTCATTTGAATTTKGATACTCTTTTATGTACCCTTGAACACTGGTAATACTTTAAAACATGCAATAAATTTAGTGCTTTCAAGGTGAAAACTTACTTACAGGTCCTGTTTCTGAAGAGTAAACATTCATCTCTATTCATTCATGCAARTTACTGACATCCATGGAGCAAAAAGATTTTCCAAGAATCAAGAACAGGGAAGCACAGACTACATGAGGAAGTGCAATCCATGCTGATGAGGTACAGGTTACCTGCCTATGGCTTCACCAAGCCACCTTCCCAGTCTGCTCCACTGGAAAGTAGTTCAGCTTTGCCCAAATTACTGCATTCCATCTGTGCATCACTTGAAGAAGAGATCAAAGGCCCT